CCCCAGCACTCACATACTTCATCTGACTCACTGTAGAGTTACTGATGCTTTACGCCCTAGACTAGCCTGTAAAGGGCTAGAGATTTTAATGATGGTGGAATGAAGTTGAGTCACTTCAGGGTGTGGGGCTCTGCAGAGGTAAATGGGTTACTTCAAGTGAAAGTAAACTACGTGTGTGGAGAAGCCCGTCAACAGGCTGAATGATTTAATTACATGCCATCTTAATTTAAAGAGATTTACATGCTCATTGAGGACAGCGGGACAGTTACATGCGGATGTGGACCTAGCAATTTCTAACTGAACAAGGTCTGGTTCACACTTAAAACGGGTGACCAGTATTTCCTTTTTTTTTTTTTAACTTCAGGATTCTTATTCTTTTACTTCTTAATAGGAAAGAATAGTCTTTTACCTGCTTCCTCTGAAATAATTGTGAAAGCTCTAGGCCAGAGCATAGTTGTCCAGAGTGTTGTTCCAGAGAACACTAGGTCCTCAGTAGGCGGTAGGTGATGTCTGACAAAAGGTTTTGTGGTCATATTACCACATCTCATCTATCCCAAGATGCACATTTTTTAAATTTTAACATCTCTGATGTCATATTTGTTGGCATCTTAGCTTTGAGTCCTAGTTTTCTTTCTTAGTGGTACATGGAATAAGGAAGTTTGTTATACAACAAGGAAATGCAACAAGTATCTTTATAGAAAGACTTTCCAGAATCTTCTGTGTGCTGAGGGGTTTGTGAATTGCCAGGAAGTTGTCGTATGCAAACTTTCCTAAGTGTGTCTGTCCAGTCACTGGTTTTTGTGAGCATGATTGTTCAGGGTTAGGATTCCTTTCAGGAAATCCTGCTCTAGCAGTTCCACCAGATTTGAACACAGTTAAGGAAAATGTTCACATTTCAAAATAGTACCTAAGTGTGACCAGGGATCATGAAATGATAAACTAAATTGAGTGTCTTTACATGAAAGGGAGAGACCGTTTGAGGAAATATTCACAGCTGTTCACATTCAGCTCTATTAAAACTGAATCAGGATCATTTTTAGGGAACTAGTCCCAGTGAACATTCCATTCATCAGAAAATTCATGTATCTGATATATACTGTTGCAGTTACATTACCTCCTGTATTATTTTGATTTGGAGAAGTTGATAAAAATGCTTTATTAGGCTGGCACTAAGCCACTCCAAAGTATGACCCCAAAACTCAGTATAGAAAAATAAAAATGGTGGTGAGTGTATAGAAGTATACTCTAAAAAAGAAGGAGGGGTACCTGGGTGGCTCAGTGGGTTACATGTCTGACTCTTAATTTAGGCTCAGATCATGATCTCAGGATTGTAAAATCAAGCCCGGCATTAGGCTCCACCCTGGGCGTGGAGCCTGCTTAAGATTCTCTCTCCCTCTCTCCCTCCCCCCCCCCCCCCCCCGTGCGCACGCACTCTCTCTCAAACAAAACAGGAGAAGCAAGCAAGCATATAAAAATTGCCAAAGAGAGATGAAATTTAGCAAAAAAAAAAAAAAAAAAAGGCTCTCATTCATCTCTTACCAAAGGTCACAGGCAAGGTCGGATTTCTATAAGTGAATAAAATATTCAATATTCACTGTATCAAGGTGTATATCAAGTACCTACCAGGTTCTAGACACTACACTAGGCTTTGATGATAGGAAGTCGAACCTGAGAACATCCTGCTCCATAGAAGTTTGCGTCCTGTAGGTGAGGCAGGTAAGTATAATAAATTGTAATACAATATGACATTGAGGCTTAGAAAGGTTAACGACTTACCCAAGGGAACTCAAGTCAGGCTTTGACTGGTCTGATGATTTCAAATACCCTGCTCTTGTCTCTAACAGACCTGCTCCCATCTTCATAGATATCATCACGATGATATAGTACTTGAAATTAATTAAACATAAAATCAAACATATTGAACCTCAAGAACCAGAAAGAAATGGAGAGATGACCCAGGCCGACCCCCTTCATTTTACAGGCCTGGAAAACTGAGACACAGAGAAGAAAATGGATTTGCTCAAGGTTATACAGTTATCTAATGACTGAATTAAGATTAGAATCAAGGTTTGTTGACTCTCAGCTCTTTGCACTATGAAGTGCCTGCCCTACGGTAAGAGACAGCGAGGAAAGCCTCAGCAGCCTCTGTTTCTACTGTGGAGCTGTGTGGGCCCATCTCAGTAAAGGCCTAGGGCGATTGTTGAATTGGTGATAAAATGCCCCATGACTAAGCACTTATTTAAAGAAATATTTCTAAGAGGAACTGCAAGGGGATTTCAGCTGAGTTCCTTAAAAACAGCCACTATCCTTAAAAGTTGAAGATAGATTTGATAAAAAATAAATATGGGACATTTGGGGGAAATTTGAATACTACATATTAGAGACTATTAAGGAATCATTGTCACTGGTTGAAGTAGATATGCAATGCTATTTTTGAAAAGTAATTTTCACAACTTTGACATATCTAGTGAAATATTTGCACTGAAATTATATGGTGTCTGGTACTAAAATAATCCAGCTTTTTTTTTTCAGGGAGGGGGGACTGAAGATTGTAAATGAGATGAGTTGCCATACACCAAAACTAGGAGGAGGTATGTGAGAGTTTGTTATACTATTATCTCTACTTTTGCACATTCCCAGGGAAAAAAGTCTCTTCATAGTGTTGAAATACCTTTTTGTTGGAAGTTTCAGAAAGTTATTTATTTTTTTTTTAAAGATTTTATTTATTTATTCATGACAAAGAGAGAGAGAGAGAGAAGCAGAGGGAGAAGCAGGCTCCCAAGGAGCAGGGAGCCCGATGCGGGACTCGATCCCGAAGGCAGATGCTTAACCATCTGAGCCACCCAGGCACCCGAAAGTTATTTTTTCCTACCAGTTGAATCAAGGTCAGGGAGAAGTGTAATCAGTAATTTTAATTGCTGACATTTGCATAGGCTAGCACCTTATAATTTACAAATTGTATTCACACCAACTCAGACCTTTCCTCACTCTCCTGGATTCGTTTAGGTCTGAAGTTGAAGGCAAAGGATCTCAATTGTGTTGTCTACAGAACAATGCCTGAAGCTCTCTCTGAAAATTAAATTTTCTTAGCACTTTTAAATGGTAGTAAAAGGGGTGCCTGGGTCGCTCAGTCGTTAAGCGGCTGCCTTCAGCTCAGGTCCTGGGATCGAGCCCTACATCGGGCTCCCTGCTCCGCGGGAGGCCTGCTTCTCCCTCTCCCACTCCCCCTGCTTGTGTTCCCTCTCTCGCTGTGCCTCTCTGTCAAATAAATAAATAAAATGTTAAAAAAAAAAAAAAAGATAAATGGTAGTAAAAATCCAGAGGATTTCCAGGAATACTGAAGGCAGGCACATGCTGAGCTTGCTTCTGCCTTGCAAGAAGAGTATTTCCCCCCTTCATTTTAGGTACACACAAGGGGATGTGTTGTGTTTTATCTCAACTAGCTAACATTCTTACTACAAAATATTAAGCCAATCCCAAAGCCACATTATCATGGAATCTATAATAGTATTAAGGGCCTCTTTGTGGCTAAGAAGAGTTGGTGTGTTACTGTTTTTATTATAAGATTTATAGAGCTGGTTTATAATACTGTATTCTTAATTGTATGGGTAATATATTTAAAACACATGTGGTAGCTACAGTTCTGGTTCTATTTTTAAGTGACTTTGGGGTTTTTCCCCCCTCTTTCTATTCATATAAGGTATACCTGCATCTGGAAACTATCAAAATATCACAAAGACAACACCATGAATGTGGTTAATTAAAGGAATAGACACCATGTAGGTTATAAGCAAGATCATTATCATTCAATAAATATTTTATTGGCAATACTTATTGTTTTGTAGGGAGCTGGGAAACTGTAACATGGGTGGGATTTCCAAGCACATAGAAATGAAACTAGTTTCCAAATGAGAATAACTGCTTACGGTCAGATGTTTAGGGGAAAGCAGTTTTCTCTCACCTTGTTTAAATTGCAGAAAACACTTTCAGGATGTGTTGAGCATCCCTTCCTGCCTTCCCATCATGTTTGTGCTCTGGGTCTGTGGCCCCAGTTAGTGTCTGAATACGCCCTCGGGGACACTGAGTTATTGCAAAGGGTCAGAGATGCTTTATGTGCATCAACAATTTCTGTAGATTGAATAATAAAATGACTGGCATAGAAATGTACCTGATCCAAATGTATGTGTTCGTCATTCACAAATAAACTGCAAATGCATTGAAAAGCTTTTCTAAATTTATACTATCACTCTGTTCTTCTGTATCTTTTACATCAATGAGTACTAAAAATATAGCTACTTTCTTACATAGGATGGGGGGCCAAAAGCTGAAGAACCAGCTCTCTAGGTGAGGTGAGAAGCTCTTGTTCATACATTTGGTAAAGCAAATTCTCTCTCTTTTTAGGCTTATTCTATGAAGCACATAATAATTTCTTTGTTTCATTATATAGTATATGCCATAGGAGATAGAATGGTGCCAGGGATAATTCAATGCACTCATGGATTTGTTTTATCATTTGGCTCTCAGAACTGGAAGTTCTAGGCATACCTTCTTTGCCACTTTTTTTTACCTAATGTATTCACTTTGGTACTCCAAGCCAAGAGGACTTTTCCCAAACTATGCACACTGTCAGACCTGACATATCCAGGATAGAGATCTCTGCAGGAACTTTTTACTGAAATGGAAACTTAAAATTGGGTGAACCTTGTCAGAAATGCAAATGTCGTTTAGAATGTCTCAGAAGGCTCTTAATACAGAGTAAATTTTTATTCTCGAAGTTTCTCTACTTGTTCTCTATACACTCTCCCTTCGGCAGGGTATTTTTTTTAAGGGACGTTAGTCTTGGATTATTACAGCGAGCAAGCAAGCAGATGGCATCATTGCTTAGTGGGGTTCGGGGTGAAGGATGACACTGAGCTCCCAAATCATAATTGGAGGTGGGATTAGTTGGAAGAGTCGTGTTTATTGACAAATCCTCTTCATTTTATTTGTTCTCCGATAATTATTTGCTGCTGAATAAGCCCTTATTCTGCACCTGGCATGTTATGCTAATCTTCACAACAACCCTATGAGGCGAATACTCTTATTCTTCCATTTGACGGACGAGGAATATGATGCTGAAAGAGGTTACGTTTACCTAAGTTCATGCAGCCGGTAAGCAATAGAATGAGGATTTGAACCTGGGTCTGACTCTAAATCTCCACTAGCAGAGACTACTCACTCACTCTTCGGAGAGGGGCTGGAACTCCTGTGGGGCCTCCTCACCAGCTCTAGGGTCTAATGACTTAAGCACCTGCCTATTCTTATCTTTGCAAAGGGAAGAATTGTGTAAACGGAACCAAAATAATGACAGCCATTTCCTTAGACCATCCATCATTAGTCACTTTTTCCTTTATCGCTTCCCAGCGAGTACTAGGTTAGTAAGTGGCTTAACTGTTACCAAGATCATCCGCACATTCAACACACAGATGGCACTGGGCTGGTTATGACTTAACCTAATTATTCTGGCCTTTCTAACTTTTCCCTTATAGTCATCAAAAAAAGGGGAGATTTTGAAAGATTTATTTCTTACCACCTTAAAGAAGAGGGGAAATTATTTTTTGAGGCGAATGAGTCCTAGCTTTCCTATAGAAAGGGAGATTATTTATTATTTGTCTAAGTAGAAGTTAATTAAGAGGATATTGCCCATAATAGCTATGAAGTCAGTAATGACATATGGAAGCCGAAAGATCTCACTGTTGGACACATATGGTGGCTAAAAAAAAATGGGGCATCTTCTTGGTTTGACTTCACTGCCAGCCTCTCCTGAGTGCTTGGATCTGGATTCACTCTCACCTCTAAACTCTTTTTAGGACCTCCAGCCATTTTGCCATCAGCTGAGGACTTACCTGGTTATCTTCCTCAGTGCCCCTCTCATTTTGAGATGGAAGGAGATGAAGCCTTTCCAATCACCCCTCCTTAAAATCTAAGAGGATCGTCTGCCAGAAATAAACACTTTCCCCCTCTCTTACTAGGAAGATAAAACCAAATGCAGGCAGTCAGATGGGCTGATATCTTAAAATATCTCCCAAGCACTACATAAATCCTCACCACTCCCTTGGTACAGAGGTAAGAGGGAGCCACTTATATTTGACAGTTGGGAGGAAGAGGCATGTGTCAGCAAGGCCAGAAGCAGTGGTTTCTGTGTCCAATGCGTTGAGGCAGCATGCAGAGAGCACGTGCTAAGGGGCAGGTAGCAAGCCCTGCGGCTGGCTGTGGTCCATGGGGGACAGGACAGCGAGAAAACTAGAACACTGCCTCCCAAAGCAGCTAACACCCCTCAGTGAGACCAGGGAGTTGCATACTTTGCGGAAATAGCTGAAAATATAGTGTGACCTTAGACCCTAAGAACTGGTCCCCTGCCAGTGGCAAAGAGAGAAGCCCATGTCTCCCGTATGTGAACCCAAGACGATGATCAGGGCCTTTGCACACCCGGGACCTGTTACACCTGTCTGCGGGGGGTTCTGGCTCTCAGCCCTGCCTTTGGGGAAGAGTTCAGCTTCATGATACTGTTTGCCCTGTTGCCTGAATCACAAAGAAATCCAAGTAAAAAGATGTGTCTATGGTTTTTCCCCGAAGTTGGTTGATTTAGGTTACAGTTGCAGTTTACACAATGCCTCTGAGTTTGCTGTTGAAGGAAAAGCAGTATTTCAAACCACAAAGTCAGCCGCTGAGATGGTTTGCTCTTACTGTTACTCTTGACCAGACGAGGCCGGGTAAGCCTTTGTCAGCCGAACGTTGGTTTGGGAACCCTACCCCTGTCCCAGGTAGCGGGCTCAGATGGGTCTCAAAATAGACCAGGCACACATGGCTGACGGGATCCCAGTGGGCAAAAGGTAATGTTACACCATCTATGATATAACTTCTAGAATAATCACTGCTGTCCCTTTGCTTCGGAATCTAGCTCCGGTGCATTACAAAACGGAAAGTCCTCAAACAGTTGCGGGTGTAGTGAGTGTGTATTTCCCTTGAAGTGGGTTCAACTTCTACTCCCCTTCGGAGCCTTATAAGAAACAATTACAGCCTTTTTCTTTTTCTTTTCTTTTTTTTTTTTTTAAGATTTTCTTTTTATTTATTTAACAGAGAGACAGATAGCAAGAGCAGGAACACAAGCAGGGGGAGTGGAAGAGGGAGAAGCAGGCTTCCTGCGGAGCAGGGAGCCCAATGCGGGGCTCGATCCCAGGACCCTGGGATCACGACCTGAGCCGAAGGCAGGCGCTTAACGACTGAGCCACCCAGGCGCCCCCAGTTACAGCCTTTTTCTTTGCTTTCTTTTCCTTTTTTCGCTTTAGAGGGACAGATCGCCAAACAAACTTTCTGGTGGCCATTGAGAAGGACAAAATCCTTGGCCAAAGCACGTGCCAGGGTTTTACAATGCATGGCACACATGGGGAGCTTTTGGCACACCCTGGGGCACAATTGGGTCCTGGGGCTCTGGGGACAGAGTGCCGCTAATCTGTGCAGCCGCTGCTTTAGTATGGTGAGCGGCGGCGGCGCCCATTTAAGGAGCACGAAGTCAGGACAGGGGGTACATGGATGATCCAGGCTGAGCAACGCTGGTAAAGGAAGGGGCAAGCTCCCTCTTGGAAGAAAAACGTCCGGTCTCTGCCGACCTGGGTGCCTGCTGTCAGGTATCTTGCCCCTCCCCAGGATGACCTGAACCTCCTTTGCCTTCTCTCCTGGAAAGTTGCCTCTAGAAGGGAATGCACTCTTATATTTAGATGGGAAACCAGGAACTGAGGAGTCATAGCCCTGGCTTCCTGGTCAGGCTGCTGACTCACACAGCCATCCTTCGGGCGTTTCCTTCATCTCTCTACCTCAGTTTCGCAGTTAAGTGAAGGATGAAAATGGAATTCCCCTAGAGGCATTGGGAACACCTAATTAATGTTTGTGTTTCTTTGAGATAACTGGGATTAAGAGGTCCTATTACGGCAAAGCATCATTATGTGGAAGTTTACATCTTATTGTCAACTCTAGGCGTCCACTGAAGAACTAGCCTGCAGAGTCGCTGGGCCGTGGTTCCCACTATCCCACTCTGTGACATGCCCTCCCTCTCTCCTTCCATCCTTTTCCACGTTGACCTTGGGTTGTGTCACTTGCCTGACATACTGTTAGTAAAGGGAGGGAGACTTCTCTTGGCTCACTCCAGAGCCTGGTGGCCCATAAGTATCTGCCAACAAGGGCTGACTGGGAGAGAGAGAGAGAGAGAGGGATAGGATGCAGCTAACTGCAGCCCTTTCAGACGCAGCCCTCCATGTTCTCTTAAGGAATTTCGGCTGTCCCTTTGTGCTTGATTTTCTCTTCTCCTTTCAAAGTGTTGACTTCATTGTTTGGCTAGGGTGAATACATCACTTCCTCTTTGGGGGGTCTGTGTTTCGTCTCCTGCTGGGTCTGAAATGTCATGTCATTTTGCTGGGTTTTGCTAGATTATGTTGGGGGTTTGTTTGTTTGTTGGTGTTCCCAAATCGTCACTGTTTCACCAGACTCTTCCCACCGCTGCCTCGTGATTAATGATGTGATAGAAATTTGCAGCTCCTCGGCATTTACCAACAGATACGCATTTGTCTGTAACTGCTCTCTTGGTTCTGTTGCCTACAAAGGGAGTTCCCCTGCAAGGGCAAAAACCAACAAAACCCCACACTGCTGTTATCTTTTCTTCCTGCTGTGCGGTCAGGTTGCTCCGTTGCTTTGCTCATTATCTGAACTTTGCTGAAGAGTGGATCTCCATGCCTCTCATCCAGAATATGGTGCGAGCCCCAGATCTTTTCCTCTTCACACTTGCCAGCCTTTCTGTGACTCGTCATATATGACTTTTTCCATTCCTGGAAGCAGTGTTTCTCTGCTCCCCTAAGTACATTTTAGTAGATACACTTGGAATTTATTAACTCATTCCACAAGCATTATTTACTTAGCACCATGTGCCAGGCACACGGGACGCTGGGTGTGTGATAGGAATCGTGAGACTGAGTTCCTGTTCTTGGAGAGCAGTGTGTGGGCAGGGCAGGGTGGTGGAGGTGCAGGTGGTAATGGGGAGGGTGAGAATGACCTGTAGGCTCATAAGTTGCAGTGCAAAAAGAAGGATTTCTGAGGGTCCCTGGGATCTGGCCCTAATAACATTTACACTACCCACAGTATATTATTTGTTATAACAAAAATATTTTCCTGAGCTCTTACTATGTACTGAGCACTGTGCTAAGTAAACTCATTTTTTTAAAAAAAGATTTTATTTATTTATTTGAGACAGAATGAGAGAGAGAGAGAGAGCACATGAGAGGGGGGAGGGTCAGAGGGAGAAGCAGACCCCCCGCTGAGCAGGGAGCCCGATGCGGGACTCGATCCCGGGACTCCAGGATCATGACCCGAGCCGAAGGCAGTCGCTTAACCAACTGAGCCACCCAGGCGCCCTAAGTAAACTCAGTTGATCCTTGCTCTGCCCTTCGTGCTGAGCTGTATTGTCATCCTTTTTTTCCAGATGAGGGACGAGACGCTGGAGAAGCTAAGTAATGTTAGTGGTTTCGAACTCAGGCACAGAGGCTGTGCTGTCCAGAGAAAGAGAAGCTTGCCAGGGCCCTTTTGGACAGGGTCCTGCCTGTATCTGCGACAGCACTAGCCATTGTGCTCTCCCCACATTTCCCTGAAAAAGATTTGTTCCTTGTGTTCTAGGAGGACTTTGGGTGGAGTTGCTGTGTTTTGAAGCTCGCCAATTGCCTTTAGCGGTAGGTTCCTCTTAATATAGTCCTACCTCAGGGTTGTCTTAGTGAGCTCTCCACTGGACTTAGGAAAAATTGGAGCCGTTCTGCCAATCCAGTGTGGGGTTTTTGGAAAGGGATTTTGGGAATGACACTGGTGGCTAAGAAGCTCCCCTTTTATCCATTCATAAAGAAAGAAGGATCTTTCTTTCTTTCTTTTTTTTTTTAAAGGTTTATTTATTTGACAGAGAGAGACACAGCGAAAGAGGGAACACAAGCAGGGGGAGTGGGAGAGGGAGAAGCAGGCTTCCCGCTGAGCAGGGAGCCCGATGCGGGGCTTGATCCCAGGACCCTGGGATCATGACCTGAGCCGAAGGCAGACGCTTAACGACTGAGCCACCCAGGCGCCCCGAAAGAAGGATCTTTCTAATATATTTAAGACTACTAAGATTACCTTATAGACCCCAAATGAGCCTCACTGAGGTTGATGTGCTTGCCAAGGTCATCAACAATGTCCTTGTCACTGTATTCGAGGGGCACATCTCAATTCTTATTATTTGACTTTCGGCATAATTTGCTGCTGCCTGCCATGTTTTGGATGAATCTAGTCTCTTGATTACCTGGTTTTCTTCCTATCTCTTTGGGCTATGCTTTGTCTTTCCGTGTTGGTGCTCTCCAAAGACAGATTCTCTTGCCCTAGGCACTCTCATTTTCAAAGCTATCACTCATTATTAGGGCTTCAATTATTGGCTCGATGTGAATGGCTCCCGAGTATCTGTCTCCAGACCAGCTCTTTCTTCTATGGTTTGGAACCCAGCTAGCTTGTGGGGCTCACAGTAACCTCAAACCCAAAAGGTCTAACACTGAACTTATCCTCTTTACCCCAGACCCTCTTCTTGCATCCTCTCTCTGGGAAGGCTACCACGGGCCATCCATCCATTTGCCCCATCCAGGAGACTTGGCATCATCCTTGAGTCTTCCTTGTCCCACTCCCACCACAGCTCTTCCTTCAGTAAGTACTGTTGTCTCTCACTCTACAATTGCTTGGATCTTCTACATTTTCCCATGTCATCACTGCCACCGTCCTCATTTGCCGGCTGCCTGCAGTAACCTAACTGCTCTTCCCTGCGGGGATTCTTGCTCCTGCCAATCCATTCTCAGCCAAGCAGCTAGAGCGAATTTCCTCAAATGCAAATCTGGCGATGTGACTCCCCTACATAAAGCTCTTCAATGTTTGCTACTGCTCTTAGGATAAAATGTAAATGCTTTAACATGGCTTGTAAGACCCTATTTATTTGGGTCTTAATTGTTTGAGAGAGAGAGGGAGAGAGAGCCTGAGCGGGGGAAGGGGCAGAGGGATAGGGCGAAGCAGAACCCCCCACTGAGCGGGGAGCCCGATGCAGGGCTCAATCCGAGGACCCTGGTATCATGACCTGAGCTGAAGGCTGATGTTTAACCAACTGAGTCATCCAGGCACCCCTAATATAGCCCTTTCTACCTTTTTTTTCCCATTAAAAATTTTTTTAATGTTATTATTTCTAATAATCCAGAAAATTGAATTTTTTCTCTGTTTCTGCATGTAATGGCAAGTTAAATACCATTAAAATTCTTTTGCCAGTTAAAATATTTGCAAAGAGGAAGTTTTTGAAAAATCTTTCAAAGGATATATTAACAAAAAATGGGAACAACATTGTTGTAGCTAATACCTGACATTTATTGAATGCTTATTATTTTCCAGTTGCTAATTTAAAAAATGTCAATGTTTTATATCACTTATTCCTCAGAGCAGCTCTAATATGATCCTCACATAATAGATGAGAAAAATAATGTTTGGAGAGGTAAAGTAACTTGCCCACTCCTGTACAGGTAATAAATATGCATATCTGATTCAATGCAGGCACTTTGACTCAAAGTCTGTCCTCATCACCTTTATGGTACACTTTTTCCCTGAGTCCTTTTTTTTTTTTAGTTTAAAATTTTAAATTAATTTGAGTATAGCTGACACACAATGTTACATTATTTTCAGGTGCACAACAGAGCGATTCAGCATCTCTATACCGTACTGTGCTCACCCCAAATGTAGCTCCCATCTGTCACGATACAAATCTATTGCATTATCACGACTATGTTCTCTATGTTGGACCTTTTATTCCTGTGACATATTCAGCCATAACTGGAAGCCTGTATCTCCACTCCCCCTCACCTATTTTGCCCATCCCTCCTTCCACTTCTACTTTTTAACCCTCCTTTGCAAAGATTGCCTCATTTCCTTCCCCAGCAATCCAGAAGACCCGGGGAAGTCCGACTTGAGTTTCTGGAAAATCAGAATGGAAGGGCTAGAAACTATCAGTAGAACAAACATCGTGTGGCCAAACATTTTCAAACTCTCCTCCATTTTTCTCAATGTCGTAGAACAAGCTAGTGTCAAATAACAAGTAGGACTTGAGGCCAGGTCAGTCTCCTGAGTCTTATCCTGTGCTCTGTCCCTCCCAGTCAACCGGGATACATTAGAACTTAGTGGTTAAGAATATGGGTCCTGGGGGACGCCTGGGTGGCTCAGATGGTTGAGCGTCTGCCTTCGGCTCAAGTCATGATCTCAGGGTCCTGGGATCGAGTCCCGCATCGGGCTTCCTGCTCCTTGGGAGCCTGCTTCTCCCTCTGCCCCTCTCTCTCTCTCTCTCTCTCATGAATAAATAAATAAAATCTTTAGAAAAAAAAAAGAATATGGGTCCTGGGATATGAAAAAGTGCTTAACATCACTTAGCATCAGGGAAATCCAAATCAAAACCACAATGAGATACCACCTCACACCAGTCAGAATGGCTAAAATTAACAAGTCAGGAAATGACAGATGTTGGCGGGGATGCGGAGAAAGGGGAACCCTCCTATACTGTTGGTGGGAATGCAAGCTGGTGCAGCCACTCTGGAAAACTGTATGGAGGTTCCTCAAAAAGTTGAAAATAGAGCTACCATATGATCCAGCAATTGCACTACTGGGTATTTACCCCAAAGATACAAATGTAGTGATCTGAAGGAGCACGTGAACCCCAATGTTTATAGCAGCAATGTCCGCAATAGCCAAACTGTGGAAAGAGCCCAGATGTCCATCGACAGATGAATGGATAAAGAAGATGTGGTATATATACACAATGGAATATTATGCAGCCATCAAAAAATGAAATCTTGCTTGCCACAAAGTGGATGGACCTAGAGGGTATTATGCTGAGGGAAATAAGTCAATCAGAGAAAGACAAGTATCACATGATCTCACTGATATGTGGAATTTGAGAGACAAGGGGAAGAGAGGAAAAAATGAAACAAGATGAAACCAGAGAGGGAGACAAACCATAAGAGACTCTTAGTCTCAGGAAACAAACTGAGGGTTGCTGGAGTGGGGCGTGGGGTGGGAGGGATGGGGTGGCTGGGTGATGGACATTGGGGAGGGTATGTGTTATGGTGAGCGCTGTGAATTGTGTAAGACTGATGAATCACAGACCTGTACCCCTGAAACAAATAATACATTGTATGTTAATAATTAAAAATTAAAATAAAAAAAAAAAAGAATATGGGTCCTGAGGGCGCCTGGTTGGCTCAGTTAAGCGTCTGCCTTCAGCTCAGGTCATGGTCCCAGGGTCCTGGGATCGAGCCCTGCATTGGGCTCCCTGCTCAGCGGGAAGCCTGCTTCTCCCTCTCCCACTCCCCATGCTTGTGTTCCCTCTCTCGCTGTGTCTCTCTCTGTCAAATAAATAAATAAAATATTTTAAAAAATAAAAAATAAAAAAATTTAAAAAAAGAATATGGGTCCTGTAGGAAGACTGTATGCAGTGTGTTGTGCTGTCACCTCCTAAACACTGTGGGCCTCAGCAGATCATCTGTAAAATGGGAATAATAATGGTACCAACCGCATAGGATCGTTGTGAGGCCTAAATGAAACAGTCCACATAGAGTTTGGCATATGACAAGTGCTTCAGTAAATATTAGCAATTTTTACACCATCCTCGCCTACATTTTATTGGGTGTGGGGAGGCAAATAGAAAAGATTCTTTATTAGCCATGTCAGTGAGGATCTGCATTTCCTCAGTTTTGTATCCTAAATCAGCAACTCCAAATGTTTGTTTGTTTTCTTGTACAATATGGTTTTTTGTTTGTTTGTTTCCTGGAAGTAGAAAGCTTGCAAGAGGGGCGCCTGGGTGGCTCAGTTGGTTAAGCGACTGCCTTTGGCTCAGGTCATGATCCTGGAGTCCCGGGATCGAGTCCCGCATTGGGCTCCCTGCTCGGCAGGGAGTCTGCTTCTCCCTCTGACCCTCCTCCCTCTCATGCTCTCTGTCTCTCATTCTCTCTCTCTCAAATAAATAAATAAAATCTTTAAAAAAAAAAAAAAGAAAGAAAGCTTGCAAGGAGCCGTTCTGACAGTGTGAGATTAAGGTGTGCGTGCTACTTACTGGATATTTTGCAGAAAGTTCCTTCCTGTCAGCTTTCAGTAATGAGACTGTGTTGGGGGAGCTGTTCTGTGAAGATGGGCTGATGGGAGGCTCCTGGCCCATACCTAAGACAACTGAGAGAGAGGGAGACGGACGGAGACAAAGAGAGGTGGATTCCTTTAGATTTTGCCTGACGCTGGCAAAGAACTTAGGCTAGGCTGGGACAGAGATTGGATATTTGTTGCATGAGTCATGGAGAGTGAAAGGTGAAAGAATGGGGCATGCTCTCCTTAACTATTTGGATAAGGAGAGAAAGGAGAAGAGAATTTTTCTAGGTGGGTATCAGCATCTGGGGAGAGAGCCACAAAATAAGTCAACAATTTCCAAATTTTCTGAAGTTTCACTGCCACATTGCTTTCTGTTTAATTAATGACTCTGTCTCTGCCATTATCTTCTTAAAATTGAGGCCGATTAAGAATAATTTTATTTGGGGTGCCTGGGTGGCTCAGTCACCTAAGCGTCCGACTTTTGATCTAAGCTGTGGTCTTGTTCTCAGGGTCGTGAGTTCAGGCCCATGTTGGGCTCTGCTTTGGATGGGGAGCCTAGTTAAAAAAGAAAAAAAGAAAGGTAATGGAAGAATCGTTTTATTTGAGGATAGAACTAGATTACAATTCCCTAAGATGATGATTGAAATACTGAGATTTATTTAAAGGAGACACGGGAATTCCTGGGCAACTTTCTCTGCATGTGTTGTCTCCCTTGGGGCTGAGGTAGGCATCCCCACTGACTCACCTGTCATCCTGCTGTCCTGATGTTCTTTCTTGTGCTTCATGATTTTCCAAAGCCTTGGTGGTCCCCCCATGCCCCCCGCCCCTGCTTCTAAATATTCCAAAGGGAAAATTTCCCTTAGAAAATAAAGTAGTTCTTTTATTTTGCAGGAATGGAGTCCAACTTTCTACCTAAGCCAGTAGCCGAAACAGGTAGCGAAAATTTCCTTTGATTCTCTTATCCGTGCTCAGATAACTGAAGACAGAAACTTCAGATAAGGTCCCAGGCAGCAAATGGATTATTTGTGGCATAGACTGAGTCAAAGGAGGAACTTGAGTGGCTTTATTTAAGTCCAATTCCACCTTTATTTTTACCAAGGAAATTTAGAGATGGAGCAAGGAGGGCAGGGACACTGCTTTGTTTTTCTACTTGTAATGTGCTGAAATGCTCTTTTTCCCTCTCCTTCCCCTTTATCACTTGGCAGGGACTTTTCTTTTGCAATCCGGGTAACCTCACCATTGCGGATGCCTCCCGGTATATGCTGCACACCTCTTTTGTCCAATAAGGGCAGTAAAAGCAGGGCTCATGTTCTTGAAAACCCCCACGTGCTCACTAAGGAGGGGTTCTTATTGTGAAAGTTCCTTTGCATAGCCTTAGTTGTGTTTTCTTAGCTTTTGCTTCATTTTGCGAATTCTGGGTCTAGGTGCCGAATGAAGGCAACAATGGAGAATAATGGATTTTAAGAGAGGAACAGCATGATCCAGTGCCTAGAATTTGGGCTGGGGGACCTGGCATGTGGTGCCCATAAATATTTGAAGTGACTTGGGTATGACAACTCCCCTGACCTGCCTGTCCTTACTGGAGGGTCCGGGGATGGGGGGCGGGGGGGGGGGGCGGTCCTCAGCAGTTTGCATGGCACGAGCTCATTGCATACCCTCAAGCCAAGGAGGACAAGAATGCAGAACCAGGCGGGAGCAGAGGAAACTGCTCAGGAAACACTGGCCTCCAGGGCTTAGAATCCAGGGTCAGGATTCCATCTCTCG